CCCCCCCATGCTGGAATGGGAACTGCCTGCCCCTGGATCCAGCAGCTGTCAGGTATCAGCATTAAGCATTGCTTGGATGCAACCTACAGCTGCAGTCTGTGAACTTACATTGTGTGAGGAATATGATAGGAGGTGAAGATGTAAAGGAGTTTCCACAATCCGGCCCCCAGATACTGGTTTGTTAGGGTGATTCGTGCAGAATCTGCCAAGTTGCACAAATTATGATTTTATGCATGGTGGCCATTTCTGTACAAATCATGCTAAATCAATGCGTATTAAAACAAGAATTTTCACAAGGAGCCATGTGACTTTGGGTCTGTCTTAGAAAGGGAAATTTGCAAAAAGCTGTAACCGAACCTGAAATTAACCCCTAATCCTAGCACAAAGTTTTACTTTGTGAATCACCCAGAGAACTTGGCTAATGGGAAGTATAGAAATATAACAAATAAATAAATATAAGGGATACACAGAACAAAAATTTAAAGCCACCCTTTCCTGAGGAATATGTGATCAGAGCAATTGGATGCAATATTCTGCCCCTTCAGTGGCCAACCAGATGTCTTAGTGGAAGCCCATGGACACAATAGCACTCTCATGCCCATGTTTCCTAGCCACTGCCCTGCAGAGCATGCTTCCCCTAATACTGGAGGTAATATACAATCAATATGACTAGTAGCCACTGATAACCTTAACCTCTATGAATTTGTCCAACTTCTAATTTGTCCAAGTAAATGGCCACCCCTGTGCTTTGTGGTAGAAATTTCATAGGCTAGCTATGAAGTGTGAAATAGGCACTTCCCAAGTCCCTCCCTGTTCAGTTCCACGAATGACCCTGCATTCTATTACTGTGAGAAAGGTAGGAAATATTCTCCCCGTTCATTCTTGCCACACCATGCACAATTGTGTACACCTTCATCATGTTCCCCCACAGCCACCTTTTTCAAAACTAAAGAGCTGCAAATATACCCTTTCCTCCTAGGGACCTACTCATTTTAGATGCTTTTTCTGTACCTCTCCCAGTTCTCCACCTTCCTTTCTGCAGAGCAGAACAAACAACAGTCCAGCCATGGATGCACCATAGATTTGCCTCCAGGCATTTGATGTGGGCAGTTTTGTTTCCAGTCCCTTTGCTCATTATGCCTTTTGCACAACAGACAGAACAGAGCCACCATTTTCATTCAGCTGTCAGCCACTAGCCCACAATCTCTTTCATGGAAAGCCATTGCCAGCTAAGCCTCTATTGCCATATCAGTGGAGTTAGAAATTTTACTCCAGTGTGCAGGACTTTATACTTGCTTACACTGAACCTCATCTTGCTGCTTATTACACATGCATTTGCCTGAGATTAAGAGGTGCGGGTATTGTTTAAATAAGTGGAGATATACCAAAATGTATGTATGAGTTGGTTGTTATACCTTCAGGGAAGTCATTCCAGTTTCACATAAATATGCTTTCAAATACACACACACACACACACACTTATGCTGCATGTTCATATCCATCTTCCTGTCACAAACACTGCATTATTCTATGTGCATATACTTCTGTGCATGTTAATAAAAAAACTCACCTGAGCTGATGTGATCATAAACTATCAATCTATAAGACAAGGACAAAAGTCACTGGAAGCGCCTTGTTCCAGACATTTCCTTTCTGTGGTTCAATAGTGTTATATGAAAGTGTCCATCTTAGCCTTGTCCGGGTTCCATGCACTTTGCTCAGATTAAGCAAAGAGCTATTTCTTTCTACCATTGTCCTAGTTGGCCTTAAATTCCATTTGCAAATATTCATGTGGGAGCATATATTTACTGCATTGTTTATCATTCTGAGGGACTTGAGCCCTCAGGAATAACATGATTGCTACGATTATCACATTGCTTTGTGCTTTCCCTATTTCTGCAGCAGCTAGAAGGTAGATTGTGAGGCAACATCTGGATTAGAAACAGCCCCTACTTCATTGATCAGGCTTACAACAGAAATGGCTTTAGGGCAGGGAAAACCCTTAAATTGCATTGTGGGAAGTCCCTACTCGAAAACCGATGAAACTTTCAAGTTCTATTACAGAGAACTTAGCACACAGTAGACCCTTTCTACATCCCACCCCTGAAGGCAAAATAGGTGCTCCTCAATGCAGTCAGATGAGAGAGATCAACATCATTCTTTAGATGGTTTTTGGCATGCATGTTCTATCATTTTATACAGAAGCGCAATCAAGGTAGTGTACAAAATTAAAACAGAAGAAAATACAAGCAACTAAGAACAAATGTCTCAAATAGAAAGATATAATAGCAATGATAAAAATTTCAGTAAAAGACTCTAACTAAAAATATCTAATGTGTGCTCCATTTTTCATATGCACCTAAAGGCAATTAGGAAAAAGTTCAGACAACCCTCTCTTGTTTCTGTTCTTTTATTTTGATGAATTAAACATATATTCCATGTTTCTTTCAAGGAGCTTGAGATGTTGTATGTATTTCTCTTCCTAGCTCCTATTTTATCCTCATAGCAATCCTGTGGAGTAGGTGAAGGGAGAGTAACTAGCAGTGTTCACACAATGTGACAATTCACACTCAGGGCTGAATATGAGTTGAAAGTGGGTTGTCATTGAACTGCTGAGTTCAATTGTTGAGTTGTGTGAATTCAGCTGTGCTGACAAAACTTGGTTTTTTAAACACAAATGACCCACACTTCACAAACCAAGAAGAATCCATGGTTTCTTTTTCTTGTTTTGTCAAGGACATTCCACATTCAACAATAAATATTTCAATGACAACCCAAACTCAACCCATATACAACCTTGAATGTGGGTTGTTGTACTGTGTGAACCCAGTTACTTGATCTAGGTCAGGGGTAGGCAAGTAGTGGGCCTCAAGTATTTTACCTCCAGCTCCCCATCAGCCCTAGCCAGGATAGCTGAGGGCCAAGAATATTAGGAGTTTTAGAACAAAACACCTGCAGGACGTAGGAACTAGGAACCTGTGCCTCCAGAAGCATAGTCAAATACTCTAACCACTACACCAGACTGGCATTCTATAATATAAGTGTGTAGTTGGAAAAAAACCATCTCTTGTCCCCATCACTACTTAATCAAGATTCTTCAGCAGATTCACATTGAAAGAGGCAATCTGGGTGTTAAAAACAATGCCTCGAATTGATCCCACCAATTGCTTTTCAGGCTGGTGGGATCAGAAGTATCAGGGGGAATGGGAACATGTGGAGACCATGATGAGGACAGTAGTGCTGCAGCAGTGATGAGCAGGCCTGAAGACAAGGGATGTGGGGCATGGGATCCACCACCCCACCCAATTTTCCCTCTCAGCTTTGTGTCTCGGCATAGTCTATGGAGTCTGCATCTGCCTCCAGCCACCAGCCCAAACTCCAAGGAAGACTACAGAAAATAACATCTGGAGAAAGCATCACTTGGGAAATCCCTTGGTCCTCCTCTCTAACATGGAGTATTACAAGACTTTGTGATGGTGAAGAAACAAGGGAAATCCATGAAAACTAGAGTATTGAGGGAAATGCACAAGGGAACATGGAGCTGAGGGTTTGCTCTAATCAGCAAACTCATAGCTCAGTTGTCCACCCTAGTAATAACATAGATCAGGAACAATGTGAATGCCCCTCCAAAATCCATTTTTGTACACCTTTGGGGGGTGTTTTATTATATACTGCTGCTGTAGCTGTTGGATTTCCAAGAAATTAGTGTAGCATAAATGAAATAGAGCAGACCTATAGTTTGCACTTTTAAAATTATTGTAATATTGTAATCACATGATTTATAGATGGAATTTGCAATCCTGTGGAATACCAGCCAGCAAAACCTGTGCAGCAGTTCCTGTATCCAGTCAAGAATAGCGCTGGACAGGAGCGTGGCTCACAGAAAGCGGGTCCAGCCAAGGACATTTTTTGCCCTGAGGCAAAGGAGAGCATGACACTCAACCCCCCATTCTGCTACAGGAGGTGACCATGCTAACAATTCAATTTTCCCTCTACACTGATGAGAGGACAGAGTCTTCCACTGCACTTGGGGGCAGCAAGTAACTTAGTGGGTATAGGGCAGGTCACATGGCACAGATGCCTCTTCCTGGCACCTTCTTGCTAACCTCTGCTGCCTGAGGTGGCTTGCCTCACTAGCCTGAAGGGAGGGCCAGCTCTGTTAGCAATGGCAATGTCTCAAACACATGATGACTACGGTAGTTCCACAGAGGCACTCCCCTCTTCTAAGGTCTTCTCAAACCACCAAACACTTGGTTGACCTCCTTTTGTATCAGGAAAAATGTACGGCCCCCTTAGTGTGGTTACTGCCTCACTCCCCAAGAAAGGTATCTACCTCTGGCTTTCCTGAAGGCATCTTTCACTTCCTTGTTCCTCATGCTGTAGATGAGAGGGTTCAGCATGGGTATCGTAACTGAGTACATCACTGAGACCACCTTGTCCTGATCCGGGGAATAGCTGCAGCTGGGCCGGGAATACATGAAGAGGGAGCTCCCATAAAACAGTGTAACAGAGGCCAAATGAGAGGCACATGTGGAGAAAGCTTTGTGCCTTCCCTCCACGGTACGGATCTTCAGGACTGTGTTGAGGACCGATGAATAGGATGCCAGAATGATAGCTGTGGTGATTAAGATGTTACACCCAACAACAGCAAAAAGAAGCATCTCATTGAAATGTGTGTCCGAACAAGCCAGAGTTAGGAGTGGAGGTCCATCGCAGAAGAAGTGGTTGAGCCTGTGAGAACGGCAGAATGGCAAGCGAAATATAGAGATGGTGTGTGTGGCTGAACCAATCACACCGACAATGTACGCCCCAGCCACTAACCTCATGCAGATCGTCTGTGACATGAGAGCTGTGTACAGCAGAGGGTTGCAAACAGCCACATAACGGTCATAGGCCATGGCAGCCAGCAGGTAGCATTCAGTGGTTGCACAGGCTGCAAAGCAGAACAACTGAATAGCGCATCCAGCAAAAGAAATGGATTTGCGGTCGGTTATGAAATTCGCCAGGGTCTTGGGAACAATTGTGGTAGAGTAGCACAAGTCTAAGAGGGAAAGCTGAGTTAGGAAAAAATACATGGGTGTGTGAAGCCGGGGATCCATCCTGATTAACACAATCATGCTGAGATTCCCAACCACAGTGAAACAATAAATAGCCAAGAACAAGATGAAGCACAAAACCTGAAGCTCACGTTGCTCTGTAAAGCCCAAAAGAACAAAATCTGTTCCTGAGGAGCCATTTCCCTCAGCCATGCCTTTCATGACGTCCTTGCATGCCAATCTTTATGCAGTCCTGAAACTAGAAGAAAGGCAGAAAAGGTACTTAACTAAGCAGCAAATGCCATCATGGACTACAAAACCATTTCCCCCTCCTTTACATCTCTTACCACTCCCTAGCATGCCAATTTAGAGTTTTCTTCTTCTCATCCTTTTTTTCCCTCCTAAATCTTGAGGTCCTTCTTTAATATTTCAAAGATCCGCCCATTCCATTCTATAGCTACTTCTAAAATATTTGTCCATGTTCATTCTACTGATATTTCCCAGTCCAGTTACTGAAAGCTTTGCCTTCCTGGTCTTCTTCTAAAAGCAAAAGCAAAAACAACGAACCCCCAACTTTGTTTGTACTTTCTCCACAAAGAGCTCTCTATCAATTTAGAACATTTCTCAATTGTTCTCCACTCCCAAAGCTTGCTTTGTTTATTTTGCTAGGTTATGTTATTTTCAGTTACAGGCTTTTAGTTGTTACATTTCTCCCCATTCTTCTCTTCAAATGCATGCAAGGCAGCCACCCTTCCCCGGAATAGCAATTCTTCCTCTTCTCTTGAACCCCTCAGACCTTTCGATAACCACTCCCGTGGGCTGGAGAACCCTCTGAAGCATGCATGGATCAAGATTCGGAGGACTGCAGTAGGCTGGGAGGAGTGACAAAAGTTGGGTTCCTCACCTTGTGTAAAATAACACGCTTTCTGCTAGCCCAAAGCTAGCACTGGCTGCACCGTTTCCAATCTTGTGGCTGTTGTCACCGTCACTCTCATCTTTTTGACTCTAATGTTCTCGGATTCTTGCATAAAAATCTTTGCATTTGCTGCAAAGTCAGGCATGACATGTTGTTGGAAGTCTCCAAAGCAGCCAGAGAAAGGGTGAGGCGATAACATTTGGGAGACAACAACTATGTATAACTTATTTAGAACTGCAGCAACCAAGGAATTCTGGCTTTAAGATAGAAATTTGGTACCACATTTATAACTTGTGTTGAAGTTCTTCAAACTTTTGATCATGTTCCATTCAAGTACAATTGTCTATATTTTTCTGACTAATATGCATATACACAAGCATATGCGCATGCACACACAATAACACACACTTAAAGATGCTCCTTTTACATGGCTTATGCCTTGTCTTTTTATTTTCTTAAATATTGAGCTTCTACTTCAATTGTTTTACAATAGATATTCTGTAAGCAAATCATATCAGTTATCAATGAAGAATTATAATTAGTTAATGCTGTTGTTTCTTTAGTTACCTTGGTTTATTATTATGCATGCTCTTCTTTTTGTTCCCTTTATTTTGTTAACTTTATTTCAAAATAAAATACAATTTAATGACAAAAATATCTTGCCCAAGGAAATAGAATCAATTATAAAAATAAAAATAACGTGTACCGTGGCATGGACATAAAAACGGGTCTTCTCATTTTAAATTCTAACCACATTAGTTCTGGCTCTTGCCAGTTTTTATATGCCTATATGAAATCATGATTCACTGGAAATCATTTATTCTCTTCACCTAAGAGCTTGCAAATTGTGATCTCACTCCTGGGATACTTTTCTGTAGTTAATGATGTACTTGCTTCTGTACAGACTGTACCTGTACTTTGTACTGTTGGGAAAACCTGCTGAAATTATCAGGTTAGCTCATCAGTTACCATGACATTCCTACATCTATGCAGACAGATCCTAGTATTATATTTTCTGTTTAGCTTGTGGTGCAAAACCTCTACAGAGGCATGGCTTCTATAATGGCACAGACAGGGCTTCCTCACCTCCTGCTTGAGACTGGGCCTCTTGGGAGGAGGTGGGGGTGCAGGTACCATTCCGCAATGCTTTGCCAAGCATGGGATGGTAGCATGAAGCAGAGAGGCCAACCCCACCTCCTGCTTGAGAGGTCTACACTCAAGGTCTGCATTCACACAGGAGGCAGGAGTGCCCATTCTGGTCCTCCTTGCTGCCCCAAACACAGCAGGACAGCAGCATACTGCAAACCTCCCCACCCCCGATTGACAGTAGATCTCCTGAGCAGAAGGCAAGAAGGATGTCTCTGTACTGCACCGGTATCCTGAGCATGGAGCAGAGATCAGGGCAATGGTGACAGCTGCCCCTAAGTGATGACTGGGCATTTTGGAGGGCGCAGTCAGCTGCTCTCTCTGGCTAGCCACTTGGCAAGAAGAGCAAGGGGATGTTCCCATGCACCTCATTTGCTGTGGGGCTCTGCCCATGGTTGATCCTGTCATCTGAGTTCAGACAACATGGCAAGCCATTGCAGGTCAAACAATCCCTGCCAGTTAGAGGACATGTTCACTTTCAAAAGCCCTGCTGTATGCAGTGTTGCACGATCAGTGGTTGCTGTCTCATTTTCTGGACAAGTCCTATTAGAGCATTTTTGCTGTTGCCCATCCTCTGCCCCTCACTAAGCTATGGTTGTAACCAATGACAGGAAGGACACCTTGGGACTGATCATTAGCAATGCACACAAGTAGCCCAGTCTGAACTCCTAAAACAACAGGACTGGCTGCCTTCACTTGGAAGATGGCAAGACCCCTACATATCTTACCTACATACAGGATGGCAAAGGCTCAACCCATTGGATGTCATCCTGAAACAGATGTGGGATCAATGTGGCTTCCAAAAGAACTGTCTATTACCTCTTGTTCATGCCTGTTCATCCCCAGTTCAAGATGCAGAAGGTCCTGTAGGAACATCCAGAGCACTGGACAGTCCTGCTGCAGAGAGTACAGTCTGGTTGGAAAGACACCTGATACCTCCAAAGCCATGCAAGCCATCCTCCAAATTCTTTCACCGCCCCATTTCACTAAAACCATCCTATATACCAGGCACTTAAGCCCCTTCCATGCTTGGACAAACAGCATATGACAAAAAATGTGGCTATTGTTTTTCCATGATCTTTTTTTTTTTTAATGTCAAATTCAAATGAAACCTGTTCAGACAGGATTTTCAAGGGTGCTTCAGGCTCCAGACCAAAATGGGAGGCTGGCAACTAGGGGGAGGGCCTTTTCTGTGGTGGCCCTACATGTTTGGAACAACCTTCCTGCCATGGCCCTCCTGGTGCCAAATCTGCCATCTTATCAGCACCGAGTTCTTTGTGGAAGCCTTTAAAGATCTCCTTGGATATCTAGGGGTCTGATGGGTTTATCCAGGTGCCTTTTTATTTTCTTGTCTGGGTCTTTTTCATTGTAATTAATGTATTTTAATGCTATTTTAATGAATGTTTAAATGTTTTAAATGCTGTTGTGTTGTATTTTGTTGTCATTATATCATGTTGTGAACTGCCCAGAGAGCTTTGCTGATGGGTGGTATAGAAATAAATAAAAAAAAACCTGTTGGTTCTTTTTGTGGTTGCTGACCAATTGTTGCTAACAATAGCTGGGTTTGAATGAAGAACAAGCAACTGTAGTCTGTTATCACTGGGTGCCTGTCCGGTTGTACCCTACACAATTGGCATGTCAGAGACCATGACAAGATTAGTGGACATAGTCCAACTGCTCAGCCTCTCTACTTCATTCAGTGCTTGACAAGTGATGCTACAAAGAGCTCATGGCTAACTCCTCAAGACAGGAAAAATGGCAGAGAGTCTTGGGAATGAACGGGGCAGTTGTAGATCCTGGCTGCTCTCAGAGTCTGCCTGAACACCTGGAGAGATAATCCCCTTTGCTTCTCCCAGGTCAATGCTGGGGTGCCAGTTCCCAGGACTCCTCCTCATCCAACAAATCCAAATCTGCCTGACCTTGGAACACCTGTCAAGAACAACTGCCCCTTTCATTCCCAGGAAAGGCTGCCCCACTGACCATGCAGTGAAGGACTATCTGAAAAGGGGACCCTTTACAGGGGTGGGCAGAAGCTTGATCTTCAGAAATCCGCAATGGGTTTAAGCACCTTCCAGAGATCTATGGGTGATTTTTCTTTAAACTTTCCAGAATTGTACTAAAATTTAGTAATCCAAAAGTATGACCGTTACTGGAAAATACATGAATATCTCTCCCATTATGGATGCACACAGGCACAGCATTTTATACATCTTTTTGTCACTTTTCTGCTCTCTCTTAAACTGAAGGAGGCCTGGGTATTTATGAAGTCTGGTCCAAGCTATTTCTGATTTCACTTCTGAGCTGCAGCCAGCCTGTCCTCTACTACTCTATCATGTAAGCAGCCACATGCCCAAGAGATCGCTTGGTGACTGAAATGCATCCTTTCCTGGAAAAAGGGCTTGACTCATATCCTGCCAGTCAAAGGGCAAAGCCTGGAACAAGAGGATGCCTGACCGAGCAAGAGGTGAAAGGGGTGACAGTTTTATTTGTGCTGATGAGGATGATGAGGATGATTGTGATGATATACAAAAGATTTGGATTATGGTATTTAAGGAAATTAGAGAAATTTTAGATATAGGCTAAAATTCACTGAGAATGGTGCTATTACTGTTGATTGAAAAACAAGATATAAATGAAGCTAAGAAAGAATTGATCTTAAGTTTGATAATGGCAGTTAGGTTAGTGATAGTTAAATATTGGAAACAGAATTGGGTTTTGCAAAGGCATGGATGGTATAATGAAATATGGAATATGGTAATTAATGATACACTGATGACAGGAATAAAAATTTAAAAAGGGTTAATGAAAGCAAATAAATATATGGACATTTGGGAAGATTTTGTAAAAGCAGTACTGATAGAAGGCAAAAGTTGCAAACCTAATCAAGATTATATGAATTTCTGGAGGGGATATGGGTATAACTGAAGTATATTATATATTATTAATTGTTATAATACATGAATTAGGTGGAGGTAGTATTGGTCTCCAGGCTGGTGGGGGCGCTTTATTATTTACTTTTCTAATTATTAATTGAGTTTTTGTATGCAATATTATTATTGTTGTTGTGTTGTATTTATGTTTTTTTCTTCTGTATTTAAAAAAAATATAAAAGGGGGAAAAGATGATGATGATGGGATGATGATGTTCCAGCCTGAGATAGAATTCTCTAAATGCTTCAGAGATTAGGTCCCAAAGGTCACAGAATCTACTGAAAAAGAGACCTTGCAGTAAGCATTTGCTCCTGGAGGAAAGCATTTTCTTCTTCTCCATTGTGTTGGTTGCATTGTGGTCCTAGTGCTGCCCTGCAGCTTCCTAAGATAAGACTCAGACAGGTAAGAATAACAAGATCAGGTTAGGGCTTGGCCCAGAAACTTGGTCTTCTGCAACAGGAATAGCAGAACTGGAAGAACCTTTCTTTTTTCCAAGGTATCGCCTGCAGGGCAGAGAGCACCGCTTCAGAATGACCTCTACTGTTCCCAGACAACTTTGGCTATACTCTAGATTCAAACAATTTAAATGTTTTTTCATCCTTTCTTCACATTCTGTGGCCATTTTAACGTGATTAATGCAGTTGTAACCAGGCAGCATTTTTATATTTGTCCACTGATCTGATCAGCAGATAGGTCAAAAGGATGAGAGTGGGTAGATGCTCTGAACTGATGCTTTGAACTAGGCAACTTGTGGCACACCTCACTTTTTTGTACCACGCATGACCTGTGCATCGTGTGGGAGCTACTTTGATGCATGGTGAGCCCACATAGAGAGAGGCAACTACATAGGAAGTGGTGTCGATGTCAGTAGCAAGGTGTGCCAACTCCTTTTGGAGCTGGTCGGAGATACTGGGTGACTAGAGATTAAAGACTAGATGAGGTCTTCCATGGTGCCAGCACCCCACTTCTTTCAAAGATGTTGGGAGGGCGTGGGTCCAGATGATTCTGTTGTCTGCTTGTGAGCTTCTCATTTTTGGTTAAAACTTCTTTTATTGTTTTCTCTAACACTTAAAATCCACCCAGAATAAAAAGATGGAAGAGCTGCATAGTGCCTTCTGATCCCCATCTTCTTTCTTCTGCCACAAGCCATGAAGTTTCCCACTTACCACCAAACCAACATTGTGGGTGTGCCCCTGTCCAGGCAGTATGGAAGGAAGGAGGTGTCAGGTCCATTTTCTATGCAGCAGTAGCCTCCTTATGGCTTAATAATCCTAATCCAAATGAAAGCTAATTGGCTTATTGGTGGGAGGCGAACTGCAGTGGGAACACTGAGAGCCAGTGTGGTGTAGTGGTTAAAAGCATGGGACTGGGACTTAGACAACCTGGGTTCTAGTCCCCGCTCAGCCATGGAGCCAACTGGGTGACTTTGGGCCAGTCACAGACTCTCAGCCCAACCTGCCTCACAGGGCTGTTGTTGTGGGGATAAGATGGAGGAGGAGAATGATGTAAGCCCTTTGTAGGAAAAAGGCAGAATATAAATTAAATAAATAAATAAATAAATAAATAAATAAATAAAATAAACATCTGTCCCCGAGAGCCGTAACATGGTGCATCAGCCATAGGACAGGGTAGCACCTGACTTCACCACCTTCTCACAAGTCATAATAATAGGTCTTGCAGTGGATGGAAGTTAGTTGCTGGCTAACAGGACTGGGAAGGAGTTTTACTAGTCTTCTAACTGCCAGGCAGAATGGGCAGGGTTTTGGGTTTTCATCCTCTTTGTTGCAAGGTAAATCTAGGTATGTGTGAGTGCTCCAGTAGAGTTATATTGTCTAAGTCATAACTCTTTCTCTCCCTCTCTCATTCTGTGTGTGTGACAGACATTGGGTTGGGTTGACTTGGGAGGGGGAGAGGGATTAGGATACCTGCCTATCTGTGGTGGGATCCCCTCAAAGCAGCTGGGTGGATGTGGCAACAAAACAAAGACAGAAGGAAAGGGATTCATGTTAAGAGGCTGCACTGTGGTGGAGCTCTGTACCTCATCCTGCCACCAGAACACCTGGCAGGTGGGCCAGGAAGGGAAAGGAGACAGCAGCCTGATGGAATCATCCAGATTCTAAACTTCCACAATCCTCTTCAAGAAAGGAATCGTGTTGCTCAGGCGTTCAAGGGGGCCTTTGGTTTGTTCCTTGCACCCAGTGAATGGACCTAATCAGGTGATGTGCACACGATGAGAAACAAAGGAGAAATCAGGAGGCAGTTGACAACTGCTATCAAGGCAGAGCCAGCAGACCTGTAAATATTTGGGGAAAAGTCAGATGGTGATGCCAGGAAAACCTTGAAATCTTTCTTTCATCAAATACTTCTATCTGTTTTTCTATTAATATGTGCTCAGTTTGGAGACAACAAGCAGCAAAGGAAGTATGAATGGACACCTCTTTGTGTTTCATTATTTTCCAGGCAAACATCATCCATTGCAGAACAATGTCTTTGGAAGGCATTGAAACATTGTTATTTTGATCGTTTTAACTTTTGAAAAAATCTTTACCAATATTGTGCTCCATACTTGGATTTGGAGTCATGCTCCTCTCTATCTCATAGCCAGCATCATTGTTCTCAAGTCTTAGCAATAAAACATGACCATAAAGAAATGGAGAGAGGAAATCAGACTTCAGTGACAGAATTCATCCTCCTTGGCTTCTCAGACTACCCTGACCTACAGATCATCCTTTTCCTTCTGTTTCTCCTGATCTATACTATCACCTTCCTGGCAAATCTTGGAATCATCCTGTTGATCAGGATTGACTCTCAACTCCATAGTCCAATGTACTTCTTTCTCAGCCACCTATCCTTGATCGACATTTGCTATTCTTCTTCCATCACCCCCAGATTGCTCACCAACATCATCTCTGAGGCAAAGGGAATCTCTTTCTTGGCCTGTGCAGCACAGATGTATCTGTTCATCGCGTTTGTCGTGGCTGAATCCTTTCTCTTGGCCGTGATGGCTTATGACCGCTATGTGGCCATCTGCAATCCCTTATTGTACACAGTGGTTATGTCAAGAAAGCTCTGCTTCCTGCTGGTGGCTGGTTCTTACATGTGGGGGGTTGCTTGTGCCCTGGTTCACACTCATTCTGCCTTCAGGGCAATTTTCTGTGGGCCAAATGCCATCAATCACTTCTTCTGTGACATTTTGCCAGTGCTGGCACTTTCTTGCTCAGACACCCAGATCAGTAAGATGCTGCTTTTTGTTTTTGCTACCTTTGTGGAAACCAGCACCATAACTGTCATTCTCACCTCTTACCTTCTCATTATCATATGTATATCGAAGATCCACTCCAATAAGGGGAAATACAGAGCTTTCTCCACCTGTGCCTCTCACTTCACCGCCATCACCATATTCCACACGACCATCCTCTTCATGTACTGCCAGCCGAACGCCAGCCCTTCCGAAGATGCAGGCCGGGTTGCTTCTGTCTTCTACACCATAGTGATTCCAATGCTGAACCCCCTGATCTACAGCCTGAGGAACAAGGAGGTGAAAGGTGCCCTCAAAAGGCTGGTGGGCAGGAAAGTGCCTTTGCACTCAGCATGTTGAAGGGGGTTTTAGTTGGGTAGGACAGCGGCTGACTGAAGTTGCAATGNGAAGGAAATCGCCACTCATGGGTGGGGGCTCTTAAGAAGCACTCTTTGCAAAGACTTTGGGATGTCGATTCTAAAAGGGGGTCTTAAAGAACTTCTGGCAAGCGTGGATGCAATAAAGCTGGGCTGAAATTCTCAGAAGACACACTTCTGTGTGAATGTCTGTGTTGTTTTCCTTTACTCACTCTCCCTCACCCTGAAAAAGACAGCTGCTTTTCGTGCTGTGTTCTCCTAATATTCTCCACCATGTGTTAAGTGGGAGGGAGCACCGTTTTCTCTTCACAGGGTCATGGAACATTCCTGGGTTGTGGGGAATGCAAAACAGCGGCCGGGCTGCTGACACAGGGCTTTTCTACTGAAGGCATTTAGCGTATGCTGATCATTCCTTACTCAAAGCTGTTCATAGTTTCTTTAGCATAGCCTTCCAATTTTCCTTCTGTGTCTAAGCGGCACTTTCAGGGAGGTGTTTTGCCACATATGCCACATGCAGGAGCAAAAACTCAACAAAATTGTTCCGAAAAAAAGAAGTGCTGCTGCTGCTGCTGAATTTCAATCCTGAGAAAATGTTGGAGAATTTCCCTTTCCTGTGGAGAAATTCAGTTCCCCCACAATTTCTCTGCTCACACAGAGTGTGAGAATCCTTTTGCACAGAGCTCTGGTGTGGCACCTGTGTACATCTGTGCACCTGTTTATCAAGGAGAGCTGGCAGAAAAAAAGTGACAAAGCTGAACTCTCACAAACCCCCGTCTCTGTGTGGGTCTGGAAGTGGCATCAGGTACAGTCACGAAGCCAATCAGAGTGAGAGCAAGGACAGGAAGAAATTATTCTGGCCCTCACCGTGTCAGAAAGCTTTGAAGAAACCATAGTACATGGCTTCCTCTTGCCCTTTCATGTAGCATATATTTGGCACATTATTTTTATTCTTATTTATTTTATTTCTATACTGCCCAATAACTGAAGTTCTCTGGACAGGATAGAAGAGCACATAAAATATGATAAAACACAGAGAACAATAAAAACATCATAAAAATTCACTGCATAATTTAAAAGTCAAATTTAAACAACTGCAATATCAAGGATGAATTAAAACATGACTTGTTAAATAGTACAGAATGTCCCAATGAACTATTTAGAGCTGACTGAAAGCTTTGCCATAGAGAACAGTCTTGACATGGCAGCAAACACATAGCAGAGTTGATGCCAGGCAGGTCTCAGCGGGGAGCTGCTCCAGAACTGGAGGGCTGTCACTGAGAAGGCCCCGCTCCTTCTCACAGCCAACTGAGCCTTTCTCAGAGGTGGCACTTGGAGCAAGGCCCTGGATTTCATTCATGATGACCAAGCAGATTACAGCTGGGAGAGGCATTCCATCAAGTATAGTGGTCCCAAGTTGCACAGGCCTTTCCACATGAAAATCAGCAGCCTGCATTGGACTGGGAAGTGTATAGGCAGCCAGTGCAAATGGGCCAGAATTGGTATCATATGTTTCTGTGTTGCCACAGACTGCAGCTTCTGAACCATCTTCAAGGGCAGGCATACAGAGTGTGCTGCAGTAATCTAGTTTGTAGATTACCTTTGTATGGTTTAATGAAATCTTTGTTCAGGTAGGAGCATTGCTGGCTCACCATAGCTATGGTAGAAGGCACTCTGGGTGTTACGGGGCAAAGATGGTTCAAGGAGGGCTCCCAAGCTATGTATCTGTTCCTTCAAGATGGGTGCAAGCTCACTGGGAAGACACTCAGAGGAACCACCTACTAATAGTCTGGACTGAGCATCAGTTTGTTAACCAGCATCCAGTTTATTGTCCCAACCAGGCATTGGTTTAGCATATCCACAGCTTCACCTGCAGAAGATGGGATGGAGAAAAGGGCTGTGTGTCCTCACTGTACTGAAGACAGTGCAGTCCAAGACTCTCAATGGCCCTACACTGTGGTCTCAGGTAGATGTTAAATTGCATGGGGGACAAGACTAACCTCCCGCTGAAGTTCCTATACTGGACAGTCCACAGGCCTGAGCAATATTCCTCAAGTGCTGCCTTTTGGAGCCAACCATCTAAGTAGGAATGGAAGCAGTCCCCCCNCCCCCCTCCCCGCAACTCCCATCACCCAGGGTCACACTTGCTCTGTCTCTTTCCCAACATGGATCATCATACAGGGCAATCAAAGCTGTTTCCGTGCCAAAACTCAGATGACTCCCAACTGAAATGACTCTAGACAATCTATCCCATCCAAGAGTGCTAGGAGGTGACTGGCTATTTCTGGGATGGTCCTAATACATACACACACACTGAATTAAGGAAATCTTTGCCTCCCTTTCTACACCACCAAATGTCCAGAGTTTTGCCATCCAGGTTCTGTCTATGGGTTTGAAGACAGAGTCTCAGTCTTAGGTGGGAGTCAGAAATAGTACAGTGGCCAAGGAACTGGGACCATGGGATTCCATGGCATTCATGCCCCATCTCTTGCCTCAACACACAGAAAATGTGTACATGCGGTAGTCCTGACCGGCCTCTCCTAAACTGTCTGAAGTCTTGTTCCATGATGGTGCTGGGACCACGGCAAGGATGCCTTTGCAGGATGTGCACCTGCTGAGATGCCCTCTTCTGCACAACTCTTATGGGGGCAAGAACCAAATGTTGGTTTTATGACTGTAAAGTGCCATGAGGATTTTTAGTAGTTGGGCTAACACAAACCAAATAACTCAATATTCAGCTGGATCAACTCTTTGGACTCTTTGGAGTCCCTGAGAATGCCCCATCTGTTATTCAGCCCAACGAAGGAGGTAGACAGGGAGGGAAATAACCTTAGGGACAGACGGCAAGTATGGCTCTGTGTCCTGAGCAGCCCGGCCTTGACCCAGGGGCTGCAGAAATAGACTGCTGCTGGAATACATCCTTAACCTTAATTAAGAGGATCGGTTCTGAACATTCACTTGGCCTTAGCTGAGGTTCTAAATGACAGAAAGGCAGACTCGTACCCCTAAAGATGATGTATTCTCTTGATTTTGTTTCCACTTCAATGGTTTAATGAGTATAGGTGAAAAATATCTGATAGTCATTCACAGAGGAAAACAAACATCTCTACATGAGGTCCCAAGTCTGTCTTTTCAGAAGTAGATTCCACTGAGTTTAATTGCATTTACTCCCAAGCAAGCCCAGCTAGGATTAGGCATTGAGATGAATCCTTTGTGGGCTTGAATCTTCTCAAACATGGATCTAGAGGAGCGTCTTATTCCCCTCTCTAGGGAGTTTGTTAGGTTGGCTGTCTCAGGCACAGACTGTGTGAAGCACTGTTGTGTAGCACCGTTCCTCAGGCCTATGTGGTTCTTGCTGGTATAGACCTAACCATGATGGACCAAAAGGTGATTTTCCCAGCAATACAGCCAAGGCACATTAGTCCTTGTGACATGTAAGACTCTGGTCAAAACAAACAGACAGACAGACAGACAGACAGACAGACAGACAGACCTTTTATTCATAACAACAGGTAGACCTTCTAAGGGACAAAGGTTTACCCAGTTTAATAGCATTGCCCACCATTACACCATAACAAATACTGTTATTTTCTAACTTCTCTCTCAGTCCAAACAATGTGGATAGCAGAGTGATATTTTTAAGAAGACATCAGTCATAAATCCTATTATACCTTTATTTTAAAATACACAACCAAGAAATCAACAGGGCAAAGGAAAGGGTGAGGGAGCATTTTAGAAAATAGTTGTCAAAAGAGAAATTCACAATTGTCAGTGAAAGGGCTGATCTGCCTCAATAGCTCATTTTTATACACTGCATGATGGAGACTGTCTCAGAAAAGAAAAATATGTCTTTTAAAATTGTCCTTTTAAAGGATGCTCCCTTCACATGCCCTCTACTTGCATAGGCAACAGAAGGACTTTTGCCAGCAGCCACTAAGTACCCTGGCTCCTTTTGCTGTCTTACGAGCATATCCATGCATGGACGAGGTCTCGGGATATGCGACTAAAGGCAGAAACTCCAATCCAGACCCTTTTTGGGAGCAGTGGTGCGGGCACCATCCACACAGAGGCTGTAACCACAGAGGGAAGGAGGTGTGACACTGCCCCATTTGAGTTTCATGGACATGCAGCACATTTCCATCTGAATGACCAAAGGCAGGCTGAGTTGGGGTAGGAATTTTTAAAAGTATTTCTTCTTAAAATTGCTCAAAATTTTCCCACAAATGTGGAACCTACAACTGTGTATTTCCTGCACAATTTGCACAATTTGCAATTTGGGCAAATATGGGCTATTTGCAGTTTGAGCAAATTGCAGCCAATGCATTAGAAATGGGTCGTTGTTGTTGTAGCGTTTCACATGAGAAGTGTGGAAGCATTCTCATTTCACTCCATATGCCCACATTCCACTTTGGCTACCTTGAATCTTCCGGCAGTTAATTCAGATTAGTACAAAATTCAGGCCTCTTTGCATTTTGCAGAAATGTACAAAAAATGCAAATGGTACATCAGCAGAAAATGCAAATTGTTCATCAGCAGAGCTCCTGATTTGGCACAGATTTTCCTGGCTTAAAATAGCATCCTGTTTTTAAAATGGAAGTTTACCTCTTGACTGGACTCATGTTAGATTGAGTTAACTTGGTGTTGGCTTGATAGAGTGGAATCTGTAGGGCTAAGTTCTGAAAACCCATCATATTTTTACCACTCTATGATCCCAAGTTGTCTACAGGTTTGTTTATATGTATTTTTTAAAATAAGTACTCATTTAATAGGCTTGCATTGGTTTAAATACTTTGCAAAGTGTGTGTGGGCACTGATTTGACTTTTCCCATTACAGTAGTAATTCTATTATGGTTGTTTTTCTGTAAGGTGCCATCATTTAATAACAACAGCATAAGAAGAAAATATGCTGTGGCTCAGACTTATAGCTCATGAGCCACCAGACTTGGCTTTGCTTGATACAATGAAGACTTCAAGCAAATTTCTGCAACTGTTGGATCCCATAATCCAAAGGGTCAAGCATGAGTCTTCCAGCACCACCCTCTGAAACCTGCTCATAGAAAAGACTTGATCCACTGCAAAATGCCCCCCGCCACCCCACAATCTCAGACACAGCTGTATCCCAGCAAGTGACCCTAGTAAGATGCCATGGCCAATTGTACTAAAAGCCACTGAAAGATCAAATGCAAGAAATCTAAAAGTAGAAGTGGCAAACCAAAAAAAATTTTTTATGTGTATATATGTGATTTCTTGAATTTTAATTTGGAACCCTGTGACAATACAAACTAGGAAAAGCTCAGCTCGATCCCTAAACTCTCAGAGAAGTAGCTCTATGACGAATGCTCGAAATGGTCTATTGAAGTCTGTGGATTTCCTCTCGTGCTTGGCCCTGTCTGGAAAGGTGCGCTGAGCCAAGAGGAAGTCCGCGAACACTTGCAGAAATCCAGCTGCGCAGCCAGGAACCTTCTTCCATATCACATGCAGCACAAGCAAAAACTGTAAATCACACGTGAAGAAGATGGATGCTTCTTGCACAGTAGTCACATGGGTTCCTGGCAAGAACCCTGTTTACATATAAAGCTGTAAATGGCTTAGGACCTGACTACCTAAAGGACCACCTTCTCCCGTATATACCTGCCTGACCACTAAGATCTGAGATGTTGTTTGTTGCCATTCTTTGTCCCTAGGTATGCCTGACTATGGCCACATAGCCGGACTCCATTGCATCCAGTAGGATCTGCATCTCCATCGGCACTGAAGCGGTCTCCTGTTTGTTTCATTGCTCTCAGCTTCAGGGTATCCCACACAGCTGTATGATTTCTACAAGGGTTGGGACGAACTCATTCAGAACCCATTCCTACACAGTCCATGGACTCTGCCTAGTCCTGCAAAGTGAGCCAAGCCAAAGGGAAGCCTGTGAGCATTCCTAGACCTCTTGTTGTGCCACTGGGGAACTTCCCCAGCTGCTGTTCCTGGTGGCCCCGCTCACTCCTGCTGGTGGCAACATGCACAAAAGGGGGGCACAGCGAGTGGATGCGCTGGCTGCGATCCCGGGCAGCCGACCTCTTTCCCAACTCCCTGTGGGCGGGGGCAGCAGCAGGCATGCAAGAATGGCATCGCACACACAATTGTACGATTGCTAGCTAGTGAATCCTTTTGGCACACAACTTCCTTTGAATAACCCAAAGGGCATCCTTCACCTCCTTGTTTCTCAGGGTGTAAATCAAAGGGTTCAACAAAGGGATGACAATTGTATAGAACACAGAGAGAATTTTGTCACTTGCATCTTGGATGGGGGATCCCTTGCTAGACTGTGGTCGGAAATGCAAAATGAGAATTGCCCCATGAAAGATGGTGACTGAAATCAAGTGTGAGGTGCAAGTGGAGAAGGCTTTCAGTCTGCCCCTGGCTGAGCTGATCCTCATAATGTTGGCTAGAATATATATATAAGAAATTACAACACTCAGGATGGTGATTGCCTCCACGGGCCCCGCCACAAAAAAAATCAGGAGTTCGTTGACGTGGATATCAGAACAGGACAGTGATAAAAGCGCAGTGATGTCACAGTATAAATGATTGATCGTATTTGAGTGACAGAAGGACACTTTGAATGTGAAGCCTGTATGAACAAGAGCATGTAAAAGCCCGAGAACATAGGACCCCACCACCAACAGAGTGCAGACTCTGGGAGACAGGAGAAGTGCATACAGCAGCGGCTTGCAAATGGCAGTATAGCGATCAAAGGCCATTGCCGCCAAGAGAAAGCACTCGGTGCTCCCCAGGCCTATTACTAAGTACATTTGCAATGCACACCCAAGGAAAGAAATTGACTTTCTGTCTGCTAAGAGATTCACCAAGGACTTAGAAGCAACCACAGAGGAAAAGCACACATCCAAGAAAGATAGATTGCTCAGAAAGAAGTACATTGGAGTGTGGAGACAGGGACTGGCCCTTATTACAGCAATCATTCCCAGATTCCCCACCAAAATCATGATATAAAAAGTGAGGAACACTAGAAAGAGGAAGGCCTGTAGTTTGGGATTATGTGTTAAACCTACAAATACAAACTCTTTAATCACTGCAGTGCTGTTTCCCTTTGTCATTGTGCCCAGACTGTTTTTCCTCCAGATCTGCAAAATAAAGTACAACAGCTTGTATAAATACATTGGAAGCAGGTTAAGCACATTTACAAAGGATGCCTAGCAAAGGCTAATGGTGGCACACCTGCCATTAGCATGGCTGGAGGAAGCAACAAGGGAGGCCCGTCACCATCTGGTCCAGCATTCCTAATCCCAGTGCCCTCGGGATGCCCTGAACTACACTATCCATCACTCCCAACTAGCTACCCAAGGGGTGTTTTGGCTGGGTATGTGGGAATTGTAGTCTGACGTTTTTTAAGGATGTCCAGTTGAGGGAAGGTGAACTAGATGGGACAGGGGAAGATGAAGATACTCACACCTAAGACAAAAGTGTATCTTATTGTACACCCACTCCAATGCATCATTTGTTACTGCAGAAAACCAGAACAGTGTGAAAGCCCAGAATTAAACCATGCTTGCTTCTGATATCCATTGAAGCTGCTACAAGAAGGCCATGCTTGACTCTTTAAAATGAAACAAACAAATAAACATACTAACGACAAATCTGTAAGTTTCTATTTCCAGGAAAGTAGAACACAATATACCTTAGAATTCCCTGGAAGCAAACAATTATGAAAAGTTTTAACTTTCTCCCATTTTTGATTCAGCTCCAGCCTGTATAATATATCTGGCCCAAGTGTCTTTAAGACAGATAATCCCCTGCACATACTTGGAAAATACACACTTGCATTGGAAAGCAATTTGTTACAGATTCCAGATAAACATAGTCCCATTTTTCTATTACTGAAGAAGGAGAGGGCACAACCTATGACACTTTAAAATCAAATTTACTTTCTGGGAAGAGTTGTTGCAGTAGTGAACATAAGAATAGGTTTTGTGTAAACCTAGAAAACCATCCAGTGTGGCTGCCTGTAATCCTCTGAACTCATGGGTTCACAGGCATCCAAGAGGAGTGTGAAAGCTAAAATAGTTTCATGCTCTTCAAACACTACCAAGCACCCTCTGATTTTGACTGTCTAAATATTTCCCCCTTCATGAAAGGATGAGAGGCTTAGGCTTAGGCTTAGGCTTAGGTTTAGGCTTGGCACCAACAGGACTTTTCAGAGGATGATGGAGCCTTTCCCTCTCTTTCCCACCCTAAACATCCTCCTTTGCACTGGCTGTGAAGGTGGCCATCCATCTTCAGAGACCAGATAGTATGGAAGGAAACATGCCAGCTGTGAGAACAAAGGGAGGGCCTTCAGAGGTCAGAGTCCCAGCTCCAATATCAATGTTTTTTTCAGGGGCTACAGAGCTGGGGCTACAGTCTCTCCTAGGGCTACACAGACAATTATTAAGAGACCATAGGACTGCACACTTAGATGTGTTAATCATCCAGTTGTCCATGCGAGTCTCAATCTGTTGTCCCCTGACATAAGCCTCAAAAAATGTCCTTAACCTTCACCCTGCCTCAAATTGAAACCTAGAAGAAGTTGTATTCGGGGTCATTTTATGACCCCAAACAAAATTGCCTCAGGCAAGGCAAATGCTGCATATGAAAGGCCTTTATTTGAACCAGCATAAGAATGAATTTCAGGTTTCAGCTGTTAAGTTAATTTTAAAGTGAATATTCTCTGTAACAAAATGTAACAATAAAATCTACATGATAATGTTTGACTTACTGAGCTTTGATTTGCATAGGAATGCTTTGACCTACAAACTTGAAATCGCCATTAAAAAGCTTATTTTAATTCTGTTCATTGGGAGTTTACTGGAAGCTTTAGCCTGAAATCTTGCCTTTCAAGAGAGACTAGGATGACCTGTAGTGAAGCTATCTTTGTTTAGGGGATAAAAGTACCCAACAGAACTATTGTTATGCATATTGGGGGTATCTTGTTACCCAGACATGTTTTCTTTGATAGAAAGAAAACTGAAAAGAAAGAATGTTAAATCTGGGGGCTTTTTATGCCACAAACCCCAACCAGGTCCTGGCATATGTCAGGTTATGTGGGATAACCTGGTCCTTTGATTATTGGACCTGCATATCCAGAGAAGCCCTCATCCAAGCATAGTTTCCATCGTGGTAGGTTTTCAGCCATCATTTTTATAACCCTTGAAAAAATTATATGCTAATATATTTTCTCTACGTCAAAGTAGTTTTCACACTATTCTTCTTCCTCTGTTCCTTCAGATTTGCTAGAATGTTTATTCTTATCTAAGTATTTAAGGTTATATTTACTTACATGAGATGTTATTGCAGTTTTCTCTGAAGAGACTTAGTCTGCTTGCTCTTAAATAAGCGGTAGGTATAGAATCTGTTTGCTTTTCTTACAGCCTTCCAGAATGGAGAGCTCCTGGTGCTGCCAGTCAGAAGACATCATGAAATAATTCTGCATTTTCTTCCTTAACAGTTGTTCTTTGGCAAGAAAAAAGATGGAAGAAGCAGGGGGAAAACATGAGTGGAAGCCACTTCAGGAGCCCCTCTCCCTAAAGCAGTGTTGCAATAAACGCTTTCTCTGGAAGTAACTCCAATCAAATTTCTCCTAGAAATTAAAATCGTTCACAAGCAGATATCTGGCATCTGTTACAGCAAAGTTGGAACTGTGCCCCTTCATGGAAAAATGAGATAGCAGTCTTGCCAGTGACTTTTGATGTTGCTGTTGTTAGTTGCGAAGTTGTGTTCGACCCATCGCGACCTCATGGACAACATTCCTCCAGGCCTTCCTGTCCTCCACCATCCCCTGGAGTCCACTCAATCTCAGACCAACTGCCCCAGTGACTCCATCCAGCCACCTCATTCTCTGTCGTCCCCTTCTTCTTTTGCCATCTATTGCTCCCAGCATTAGACTCTTCTCCAGGGAGTCCTTCCTTCTTATTAGGTGGCCAAAGTATCTGAGTTTCATCTTCAGTATCTGGTCTTCTAAAGAGCAGTCAGGGTTGATCTCTTCTAGGACTGACCGGTTTGATCACCTTGCGGTCCAAGGGACTTGCAGGTGGAGCTAAAAGCCTTCTATGAGGAAGTACCCAATAACAGCACTGGTGTCTTACAAACTAGCTTGGTTATTTTGGTACTAGGGTTCCTAGTGAGAGCCAACTCAATGGCTGCACTACATACCACATGTGAGATTATCTATCTATCTATCTATCTATCTATCTATCTATCTATCTATCTATCTGAATTTAGATGGGTTTAATAGGGTTCCCAACTATGTTTCATTTGCAGTTTCTCCACAGAATGTAGGTACACTTCAAAACAATCCTTAGTCTGATTGTCAAGTTGCCTTCTGCTCATCCAAATGACAAATCTTGAGCAACTCTCAGAAGAAAAACAACCTGCAGTATTTCATTCCCCATTCATTAAATAGGCCCTGGCATCCTAGGGCAGCTGATGAGGCCCCAGCATGCTGGCAGAAGTGGCACCCACTTTGCCTTCCAATGCCTGCAGCTGGATCTGAGAGGAGCCATTTGATTTTCTCACAATGCCCTGGCATATGCCAAGTCAAGCATCCTAGGACATTCTGGGAAATGACACTGGGTTCTCTTCTTCCAAAATGCAAAATTCCAAGCTAGAGATTTCCAATTTTGAATATGAAGTCAAGGGATGTGGGGGTCAGAATGCATAGCTAAAATGACAAAGTTAACAAGTACAGTTAACATCTGTACTTACTCTTACTGGGAAATGAGGTGTTAGCAGGTTTGACGATATCAGTGAAATTTCACCAGTGGAATTGATTTCCAGAGAGGTACCCATTTTGGTCTGTTGTAGCAAGCAATAAGTAAATAAATAATAAATTAAAAATAACCAAATACAACCAAACAAAAAAGAGTCATGGGAGAGCTAGCACACTTATTATAGGATATGCATCCTTGCACCAGAGTACACTTTGTCACATGCATGAAATAGTATCATAAACATGCACATATATATAGCCATAGAGCTATTTGCATGTGTGTGTGGCACAACCCATGTCTCTTGACGCTCTGTGTCCTCAGAAGATTTTCTAGTGTCTTTTGGGAGACTGTCATACCCTCAAACATTCAGGTGTGTCAAAGCATAGCAAAAGTTTTTTGTTTCTGATATTAGAGCAATTCTATGTGAGAGGACAAGACACAGGCAAAAGGACAACTTGCCCTTCAAAACAAATGTGTGTGATACTACATCTGCCAGAATTGTGTGGGTAGTGATGGGCAAATTTGTCAACTTTCATTTTTCTCATTTTCTCATTTTTCCTTTTTTTTTTGGTACACATTTTCCTACTTCTTGCCTTTTAGTACCTTTTTCTTAGTGTAATATATTTTTGTATGCTCTTTTCATCAATATGCACATTCATGTATGTATTTTTCTCCACTGAAGAACTCCAGTGCAAAATTTGGAGAACAGCAAATTTTGAAAAATAACTGAGTTTCAGCTTCCATATTGCTCTCAAAGAGCAAAATCAGATGCATTCACATCAAAATATGTCCCAAGATCTCCTGATAGTGTAAAACAAATTTCTCCTTCATCACTAGGGGAAGAAGAATAGCAATGGGATTGTGACAGTCCCAGTAACATAGGAAGCTGCCTATTACCAAGTCTGAGCACTGATTCTTCGAACTGTGCATCCCCGCTGACTGCCAGTGCTTTAGAGAAGCCTTTGGCGAAGTCTCCGACCTAGAGATACCAGGAATTGAACCTGAAGACCTTCCCCATGCAACACATGGGCTGTACAACTGGGTTATGGTCCTTGCTTCCCATACATTTTCCCCCATTCAGAGGAATCTGTGTGTGGGCAAGCAAAAGCTCTGCATCCGGCTCAGAGGAGCTGAGGCATGGACAGAGACAGGCATTGTATCAAGATGTTGCCTTGAGGCCCAGTTGGAATTCCCCCTGGGAACCAAACTGACCAAACAAAGGCATGTTTATTCACCCATGTGACAGTGATCCTCAGGAAGATCAGGATACAACTGAGTGTGAGACCAAACTAATTAAATAAGGTAGTCACAGTGGCGGGGCAGTGGGTGGGAATGTGGACTGTAAGAAGATCCAAGGCAATTCTGTGAAGGGAGCTCCCTAG